GGATAGGTGGAAGAAAATGGATGGATGGATTAGATAAATTTCAGTAAGTGTGTTTAATAATTTTTCCCTGTGCCATTCCACATTATTACAAATAACTTAATTTCTGGACATTTATGGTTTGATTTCTTTGTATGTATGGATCACTTGGGTTGTTACCGACATCTGGTGAAAATTTCATATCATTAGCACCTCTAGTAATATATTTACTGAGAAAAATGGTGACGTGTTCAATACTTATTTTACCTGCTGTATTCACAACTTAGTCCAGGATTAAATGGGGTTAGAACTGGAACAAATTCAGAGCAAGTTGAAACTTTCAAGATATGTTTATAAAACTATCAGGAATATCACACTAAGAGGTTCCAAGAATTTCCGTTGGAGCTTTTGAGAAATTCAAGATGGTGTCCAAGGTGGCTTAAAAATACCATATAAATGGAAATAATAAGTCTAAATGTATGTTTATTGTGGCATTATTTCACATCTAATAATATTTTAAAGATTTAACAAAATCTTTGTGCAGTTATGCATAGGTCTAAACCTTTTACTCCCTGGCTGTGATCAGTTTTCATATCTGTGGTAAAACTGTAGAAACCTTAAGCGTCAAACAATTACAAACTTTTGAAACATTTTTACAACACGATGCTTTCCTTCCGTCTGACTTTTAATATGTAATTTCTGACAACTTTCTGAGCATATCCTGAAAGATTTAGCTTGTTGTGACGTTGTTACAGGTTTGACACAAATGAAATACTCCTGGACTAATTAATTGTAAGGCAACATGTTCTGTAGCTCAAAGCGTAGCAAAGAGCTTTTCACATTTTTTATTTTGTTGTTAAAAAGAATTTTGATATAGTTCTCTTTCTATTTCATCCAATTCGTGGAATCAGTGGTTCGGACAGCAGGGTTTAAAAGTTTGTGGGTTTGTGGTTTTGTCTAGTTCCTAACACTGTATAGTTTGTTGTTTGACAAAGATTTAATCTTTGTCTCAAAACACAATTTTCTTCCAAGGAGCTTTTGTTTCATGAGAAGATCTGCATAATGACCAAAAACTGATCCAAAGTCACTATGCTGTCGGAGCACTGTCTGACTTTCTTCATGTTGTCTGCATTGCTTCAAAAAGATAAAGGATTCATTAAAGCTATAATTAGTCACCACTTCAGTTTGGGTATTTGTGTCTCGTGGAAGTACAAGAGTTGATGGCATTGATGAAAAACCTCTCTCTGTTTGAAGCCGTTACCCTCCACTTCATACACGTTTCTTTCCGAGATTTATGTGATGAGGACATCACCTAGATTAGACAAATTTCAGCTGCTGGAAGCTGAAAAGCCATCGTTCTGTTAAATCTCATTAAAACGCAGCAGAGCGGATGGCTTTCTTTTTGACAGGTGACAGATGCGAGGCGTTCTACGAAGCTGCACTTGGTTTACCTCAACGGCGGCCTTGGCTCGCTCAAACTCTTCCTCCAGGGACTGATGCCTGGACAGGAGGGCGCTCCCCCAGCGCTGCTCCTTCGTTAGGCGAGCCTGTCACACACACACACACACACACATTGCACAAACATTTATGCCAAACAAAACTCATTACATAATTGCCTTCACTCGAGACGTACATACACATTCAGATAAGCGTATCACACACACGCAGCCAGAGGAAGAGGCGGGTGGGAAAGCGTGTGCAGGGTCAGCCGTCTCTGCTTTTCTCAGGGCTGAGTAAATACCCCTGCCTCAACAAAGCCTCTGACATGCTTAGGGAAGGCCAGCAGAATCACTACTGTCAGCAACCACCTCCCAACCACACATACACACAACCCAGTCCTCATCTGAAAAACATGCTCCTCTAAATTTCACCCTCCACCCAAAGCCTTGGCTGGTTTTTATGCAGCTGTACATGCAGTTTCAGAAATAAGCTGATAAATTCTCTGTGACAGACGTGGCTGTTTTTGAAAATACAAATCGACTGGTTACATGCATGTTGTTTAGCTTTGTCAACTGCAGCGCAATTTCCATAATTTTGTGTTACTACTATGCAAGGAAAAGGTTTTAGGCACTCTTTTCCCTGCTCAGGTGTGATATGGGACTATTTACTGTAAATAGCAAAGGCAATTTATAACCCAGGGCAAGTCAATCTATTACAGAGACATGTCCTGCTCTGTCTGTTGCTTCCTGTGTTTGGGAATCAGACGAGCTATTTCTGGTAGTGATTCCCATTTCTGCCTACTACCATCATACACGAATCACTTAGGTTAATGTCACTAAATGGATTGAGAAAAATGCCTATTTTGTTTACTGTAGATACCCACAATTTCATTTACAAGAAGTGCATGCTGTGAAACAATTTTGCTGCAATTTGCATTACCCTCAAGAAATTGTTCCCGAAATTGCAGTGGAGTGCAGTTTGTTTCTTAAAGGAACAATCCACCCAAAAGTGTTGCAAAACAGGTCTGGACCTTTATTTCATCAACTTCATTTAGCATGTCACTTAAAAGAGACATAGCTGTGGAGGACTGAAATTGACATAATTATAAATAAAAGCAGAAATATTTTAATTGACCAATAAATGAATAAATACTCATAAAATGCACAACTTAAATTAAAAAAGGAGAACTTTATATTATGTTTTACAATTTAATTGACCACCATATTTATTTTTCCAGCTTAGTTCCAATAAATTATATATTTTTATCACATAATTTACATTTTACTGTTTTTTAAATATATATAATTTTTTCCTTTTACATGTACATGCATTTGTGTGTCTTA